TCCAACTGAGGCGCCACAGAGTCTATGACGCTTCAGACGTGAAGAGCGCGGCTAGGACGCACGTCACAGCCGTTGTTAGCCACGCTGATCGGACAAGGCCCACAGTGGGCACGACCTCGGCTGTGGCATACACCGACCAAGGAACCAGAAAGGACCCAGGGCCCGCGACCGAAGACCGAACGCAGGCAGGTGGGGTGCGCGGCCAGGACGCCAACGCACGAAAGAAAAGGACGCTCAAAGATGCGTCTGCGAATCGACCCGAAACACCTTGGCCCCGAGACGAATCTCGCCGCGCGCGACGCGGTGCAGAACCTTCTCGCCGTGGTCCGTCATATGTGGGACACGGCTGGCCGAGAGAGAGGACCTTCGCGGCAGCAACATTCGCACACTGGGTGCAGCCCACTGCGACGGGACCGTCGGGGAGCGAAATACGGACTAGGGCATGCCTGCGAGAGCCTGCTCCAAGCTGCAGCTGTGCAGCTAAAACTCGCAAAACGATGTCGGGGTAAGCAGGCCCTCGAACAAGAATGAGTTGCGTGTGGGGAGGCTTGCCTTTGAGGTGCTTAGGCGGGTGTCCGCAGTCAGACAAGCCTTCACCGAGCCGACCAATCCAAACGCTTCACGGTTTGACAACCTTAAGCCTCGCTTGCAGCCGTTGCCTGTGGATGCCGGGCAGGTGGGCAGCCTCTGCTGCTCTGCGCGCAGCGAGGTCAGCCTGCTGATTCCCGAGCCGGTGTCTGGCTGGAGCTCTGCCAGTCAGCACATCGTCAACTGTGGAGTGCGCTTTGATCTTCTGCAGATCTAGCGCTCCCCATTCATCGAGGAGCCGCCAAAATTCGCGCCACAGATGGGCGTGAGAGGCGACACAAGACGTGGTGGCCACACGGCCACGCTCATGGAAGCCATCATGAACGTACAGCGAATCAGTGAAAACCCGACTAGGTGGCGCGACGTAGCGAAGCGTGTGAACGACAGCAAGCAATTCGGCAGCACTGATGCACTGAATGGGGTCCAGGACGGGTCCAAACACGCTTGCAGCAACAACGTCGCGGTCAGGGTCGAGAGCTACACACCCCCATCCAGCAGAGGCCAGGGAGGCAAATTTAGCTTCAATGACCGAACCGTCGGCAAAGATATTTTTAAAAAAAAGGTAGGATCGCCGCATCCCCAGGTGGCTTCAACCCCTGGTGGCGGACGAGCAAAAGCAGGCATCGGGACGAAGCACCTCCCGGCGAAAATCGCAGCGAGTGGCGAGCCTGACGCAGCGTGCGCAACGCGCTCTCGAAAGGGAGGAGGTTCTACTAACTCCTCCAGCCTAGAGCAGCTACATCGTCGATGAAGAAGCGTGCCATCTTGGCCAGGGCAAGGCAGGCAATGAGGCTAGGTGGGATAAACAGCGGCCCGCTGCCTTTTCTGAGGCCACTGTCCCCCGACAATAGTAGATCTGAGGTGCGCTCTCTGCACGGCTGGCATACCAGAACGAAGCAACGACTTAAGAGGCTGCAGTCGGATTCCACGCTCAAACTCTGGTTCGTCTAGGTGCTCAGCAATTTTCTGGCACTGCCACTCTTCAATAGTACGGAACAACAGGATCCTCACGTTGAGGGGGCAAAAGTTGTCGGGGTTGACGTCGGCGCCGTCAGGCCAGATCCATGATGTAGCGGAAGTAGCGGTGATACCCACACGCTTAAGGGAGGCCCACAGGGCACAGAAGGGGCTTTTGATGGAGGACCAGGGGTGGGCCAACCCAGACAGCCTAGCATGGGCCTCACGGAGTCCTCCATCGAGGGCCTGAAAGGGCAACCAGGAGCCAGCGAGGGCATGCAGGAAGGACTTCACAGGCAACCACGTGGCCCTGAATATGGGGTCCAAGTAGGGCACAGGGGAGAGGATGAGCGCGAGGGTGCGGGACTTGCCATCTTGACGATGGTCTTGCAATTTGCCAGCAGCTCCTCTAGGGGACTGTAACTCCTGCCCACTGGTACCAATGACCGACGATCCATACAGCACAAAGGACCCCAGAGCACTTCGAGTCATGCGCCCAAGCGCGCGACGCCAAGGTTTGGAGCCAGAAAGAAGACATACGCTGCCGCCCAAGACGCATCGCCTTGTCACGGCTGGCTGTGGTGGCCTTTTCCCCCGACTAACCCAGAAGCAAAATCAATTCCAAGGTTCCGCTCGGACCTGACAGGCAAGGGTTGGAGGCTCTTCAGTTTCAAAGCGATGGCCGTACGCACAGACGGTAAGTTCCCGAGCGCTAGGGACTTGTCAATGAGCCAACAGAAGACTTGACATCGACAGTTTTGAGCTCGCTGTGGGCATCTCCTCCTCCTCCTTCTCCCCCCCCTCCTCCTCCTCCTCCTCCACCTCCTCCTCCTCCTCTTCCTCCTCCTCCTCCTCATCCTCCCCTCCTCCCCGTCCTCCCTCCCTCCCTCCTTCTTTCCTGCCGTCCTTCCTGTCTTCCTCCCTTCCTTTTCCTTCTTCCTCCGTATCCTCCTCGGTCCTCCTTCTCGTCCACCCGCTTCCTCCTCCTAAACCTCCTCCCCTCCTCATATTTCCCTTGGTTGTTGTTCTCCTCATCCTCCTCGCCCTTTTCCTATTCCACCACCCTCCTCTTTCCTACAGTAGAACTCTTATCAACATGCAGATGGATATGATACAAAGCAGTCCTTGCACTGAGGGGTTCTTGCGCGTGTAGCAAGGAATGTTCTAGGCAATCTGGGTTTGCACGTTGTGTGGGCCCGTGGACGTTCCGTTGGTGGCAGGGCCAGTGGGTGTCCCGTGGGCACCTCGCGTTGGTTGGGTGGTCCAGGTTTTCGGCTAGTGAGCGCCTGTGGGCGCCTAGTGGTCGGCTAGTGCGATGACTGGGTTCCCCAGGTTTTCGCCTGGTCGCCGCCAGTGGGCGTTCGGTGTGCGCTTTCACAGGTTGCACCAACACAACATAACTTGCACCGCCTAGCTGTCACCGCAGCTATTGCATCACGTAGTTTAGACTACGTGCGCCCCCGTTTCAAAAGGAGTTTTGCGATCCGAGTTCCCCACACAGGGTGTGAAAAGCTTCACGAGTTCAACGAAGCATAACAGTGGCAATATGAATGGCAAAGGAAGGCAAGGAAAAGAAACGAGGAAAAGGACAGATGGTGAGCACTCCACGCCGTGTTTGAATATTACAAGTCGGTTGCATGGGGGTCGCTCTTTCAAGCTTGGTTTTGGCTTCGGCAAAGGGGGCTGCCCTTCCCTTGGCTCCCTACCTAGTAGGCGAACGTCTCACTTCTCAGCTGGGTCTGAAGAAAGCCCCCCAAGCGGTCAGAGAGCTCAGTATGGCCCAAGATAGCTCCAAGAGTAGTCTCTATACCTCGGATTCGCCTCCCAAATGGCGCAGGATAGCCCGGCACATGTCAAGATATGTTTCATGCGCTTTCCGCATAGCGCGCGCCGTCCAGCACGGCCCGCTTGGAGGGGGGAAAGTCACATTGGGAAGACTGAAGGGGTGAGGAGGGCACGAACCCTGATAATCAGCACGGCTTGCGCATAGCCCGCTCGGGCGGACACGGCCTCTTTGGGAGCAACGAAAAGCCTCCCTGGATGGAAAAACGTAGCATCGGGAAGGCTAGAAAGATGAGGAGGACATGAACCCTGGTAAATCATGCGGGTTGCGCATAGCCCGGTCGTTCCGGCAAGGCCTCCTTGGAGGGGCAAGCGACTCCTTGGCGAGGGAAGCGTGATTTTCGGAAGGCGGGAGTCGGAGGCATGGAGGGCACAAATGCATGAAAAATAATTCGATGTGCGCAAAGCCCGCTAGGTTTGCTGCGGCTTCCTTGGGGGAGGGATGCAGCCTCCCAGGAGGGGGAAACGCGACAGCAGGGAGGCTGGAGAGGTAGGGAGGGCACGAATCCGAATAAAAGTAGCACGGTTTGCACAGCCGCTCGGAGGGAAGGCGGGATGATTGCGGGAGAAGTGGAGTTGACAGTTCATGAGAGGACGAAAACGAATTGCACCATTTAGATTATTTCACATCGATTGCAGCACACATATCGCACCACTGAATTGTCAAGTCATTTGTTGGGTGGCATTGGTTGCACCGCATACCTCACACGTTCCGAGTGGAATATCTCACTGCTTGGAGCCCGCGGCTGGCAAACGTACAGATTTAAATAAGTGTGCGTATGCGTACACATTATTTGCCATATAGAACAACGAAGACAAACGTTCCCAGAACAGCGTTTGCACTTACCAGTTCTTCCGTATCTCCCTAAGGATTTGGTTGGGTTCGGCGAGATTTCGCCATTTTGCCGCCCGTTGCAGCCTCGTTGCCGCTTCGTGCGCTGGGTGGGCCCGGCGAGGATTCGCCACGTTATTGCTCATTGCCGCTTCATTACCAGCTCCTACGTTGGGTGGGTCTTGCGAGGTTTCGCCACGTTGCCGCTTCGTTGGCCGCTTCTGCCTTGCACCACGTATATAGCACCACATGGCTCCACATAGCTTGCGTCACATTGCTCATGCATTCACACTGCAATAACGTACTGCTTGGGACCCACGCGAACGTATTCCTTTACACATTTGACAAGTATTAGTACGTAGACACGCCAGAAAACAACGTATTGTGTTCCCTCCCCTCCCAATGTCCTCCCCCGCTTTCTTGGCGGGGGGGCCAGCGAGGTCTGCCCTCCGCCGCCGCCCGCCGCCGCCCTCCACCCGCCGCCCTCCGCCCGCCCTTCGCCTGCCGCCGCCGCCCTCCGCCGCTCTCCGCCGCCGCCGTCCACCGCCGCCCGCCGCCCTCCGCCCGCCGCCACCCCCCGCCGCCGTCCTCCGCCGCCGCCCTCCACCTCCCGCCCGCTGCCTGCCGCCGCCGCCGCCCTGCGCACGCCGCCGCTGCCCTCTGCCCTGCCCGCCGCCGCCTCCGCTCTCTGCCGGCGCCGCCCTCGCCACCGCCCGCCGCCGCCTTTCCGCCGCCCCCCGCGTTTGCCCTGGGGCCCGGCGCGCCCGACGCGGCCGCACAGGTCGAGTTCCAGGCCGCGGAGGCCAGGAGGCTGAGCCTCCGGCGGCGCCTGCAGGCCCCTGTCTGGGGTCCCACGTCGGGTTATCGTGCACAGTCAAGAACCACACACGACTGCGGCGGCGGCGGCGGCGGCGGCGGCGGCGGCGGCGACGACGACGACGACCACGACGACGACGACGACGACGACGACGACGACGACGACGACGACGACGACGACGACGACGACGACGACGACGGCGGCGGCGGCGGCGGCGACGACGACGACGACGAGGACGCGAGCACTGACGGGGGAGCGACCGACGAGGCGGCGGGGGAGAGGACACCTAAGGCTGCAAGGGCGGCGCAGCACTCGCTGGGCTCTCGGGCCGGTCGCCTGCATCCTCGGCTGCGAGCGGCCCCTCCTCACTAAATGGGGCCGAAGGGGGGCACAACTAAATCGACACCAACTCCAGAATTTCCAACTTTCCCATATTGCCTGAATTGTAGTCTTCCCCACCGCGGTGGGGAAAAATATGGGAAGCGCGCTTCCCATATTTTTCCATATTCTGCTGCGAGTCGACACTTCTGTGTGCTTTGCTTCTCTCCCAATCACCTCCGCCCCTGAGCCATGCCCGGACATGCTCGCGTCCTGAAAGGTCACGACGGCTGGTTTTTGGCCGTGTTCTTCTTCCGGGGGGCCCTCGCCAGCCCCAGGACCGAAACTCATTCGGGATGAAATCGTCCCTGCGGGAAATGTCAGGCCTTCCTGGGACCGCCGATTGAGAAAACAAGACGTCAGATGTCTGGGTGAGGGTCCACGAGAGGAAGGGGCCTGCGAAGACCCACGTAGTTAAAATGTCGGAAGCCCGAGCGGATTTCTTGCGTTGTCGCTGGGCCGTCTCCCCCACACCCCAGGCGGCGCCTCCAGCGTCGCCCTTGGTGTGCTCCGCGCGCTGGAAAAGGGGTTGTGGTGGGGGGGGGGGCCCAGCGCCGACCCGATAAATCCGCCGTGAGCCAGAGGGGCCCTGAGGGGAGGGGGTCCTCGGGTGAGCATGAGGGGCAACGCGCAGAGGGGATAGGCTCAGGGGGTGACGCATCGTCGGCCCCAATCGACCACTGACCCCCCGAGAAGGGGACTGAGAGCCCACCACGCCCAGGACCCTGTGGATTCGCTGTGCGAGGCCTATCGCCAATCTATCCGCGACGCATCGCCGATCCCAGCTCGATATTCTACCCCCCCCCTGAGCTGGTCCACCCCTGACGCTGCTCCTCAGACCAGGGCTTGGCATCGCTCGGACGTGTGCATTGTTTCTCGGCGAGGACCATCGAGGATCATCTGTGATCACTCCGCGAAGAACACACGCACGAGATCGAAAAGCGCACGGGGAATGGACGTCCGTGCGATGGCGAGAGGGGCAGCGAGGGGGGGGGGGAGCAGCTGCGGGGCGGCGGGAGCGAGGCAGCCACTCCGGCCCCTTGGCGGGGGGGGGGGGGAGATCGCTCCGTGCCCCGGGCTGCCCCCCCGAGAGCCGCTGCTCCGCAGGGCCTCTCGGGGCCCGCTCCGCGGGGCCCCGGGGGGGGAGAGAGGGCACCGGGCCCCCCAGGAGAAGGCCGCAGGGCTCCCGCCGAGGAAGCGCAGGCACGGGTGAACTCAGGCACGCTCACCGAGGTGTGCGACGGGCCCCGGCGGCGCCGGCCTCGCGTTTCGAGAGTACCGTCCCCGATCCGGGGATCTGGCGCCCGCGCGCCAGATGCCAGATCCATGGATCCCTGATCCATGTCAGCGCGTGTCCGATCCTTAGTCGTATGCGGCCATCCTTGTCTGCGGACATTCTCTCGATTTTCTCATTCTCCACCCTGACCGGGTGGCATGCGCGGTCGATCGAAAGTGGCCCCGCGTCTGAAGGCCCGGGCGCGCGCGCTCGCTCGCTCCGACTGCTCGACTTTCTCCGCCTCGTCGCCGCGCACGAGGCCGCGACCGCGCAGAAGCTTGTCCGACCCAGGGAGGCCCGAGGGGCGCAGGGCCCCCGAGGCGCGCGGAGCTCCCTCCAACAACGCGGGGCCACCGGCTCGAGATCTCAGGCGGGTCGGCCAACCAGCTATGCCCTGCGCCGCAGTTCTTGTAAGCTCCTTCCCGGGGTGAGCCAGAGAGCGCGGCAGCGCTCAAGTTTTTGAGGGGCCGCTCTCCATCGGGACCCCTCTGATTCACGACATGCCCACCCAGGAGCACACGTTTTTGGGGGCGGCGCGGCCACGCGCGCCGCAACTCGGCGGAATCAGGCGGAGCACAAGCACACTTTTACTGCCGGCGGCCGAGCGATGTCACCACAGCGAGAGCTAGAGTGGGATGCAGACGAGCACGAATTCCGCACGACTTCGCAGACAGGTGGCTGCGCTAGGCGAGCGGGCGGGCACAGGAAAACACCCAATTTCGCGGGAGGGGCACGCGAAGCTGGCGCACGCATGGCGTGCAGGATGGCCGCTGTTTGACAGTCCCGGGGCCGGGCGAGGGCCCGCGGAGGCCGAAAACGGCCGAAAATGTCCGCTCGTGCTTTGCTCACGACGCGGGCATGTCTCGGCACACAAACACACACACACACACACACTTTGGTCTACTGCGCCTTGGATCCAAGTTGCGGGCAGGCTGCGGCAGGGCTGCTGTTGAGCGAAATGGGCACAGAGATGGAAGGAGCGGCGGGAGGGAAGAGGGGGAAGAGCCGCGGACGGCCGGAGCGCCCTCAGGGCATGAAGCCGTGGCGTGCCCGAGCAAGCCCAAGCCCTCGTAGTTGCCAGTGCGTCCCACAGGCATTGCACATGTGTGGGCACGCACAAGCAAACAAACAGGCGGCGGCGAGCCTGGGGGGGAAACGAGAGGGGGCAGGCCTTCTGGCTCGGGGGGCCTCGGGCCTCCTGCGGAGATCTCTGGGCCTTCCCCGAAGACGCAGAAAACTTGCCAGAAGGCGCGAGGCCCCGCCGCCTTCTGAGAAAGCCTGCCCCCTCTCACTCCCCTCCGGCCGCGCTGCCTGAACGAAAACCTGGGCCCTTCATCCCCAGGGGGACCCAAGAGCACCCGCAACACGCCCAGATCATTGATCCCCCTACAGTTTCTAAACGATGTTAGCTTTCCAGCCCCGTTCGGCCCCCAACCCTCCAAGACGACCCGAGAAGCTCCCCAGTAAGTAGCGCTTCGGGATTGCCCAGGAGGCCCCCTGGAGGGCCCCAAGACGAACCAGGAGGGCCCCAAGACGGTCAGGAGCAAAGCCCCCGCTGCGGCGTGCGCCCCGCCAGGCCGCACGCGCCTCCTCGCGGCAGCGGGCCGGCCTCCTGGGCGCGCTGGGCACCGCACCGCTGCAGCGGTGCGCGGCGCTGGCCCTGGCGGTGCTCGGGGCGCGGAGCCTCTGCGGCCAGAAGGCCTCGCCCTGGCCTCCTCCTGCTCCTCCTCCTCCTCCTCCTCCTCCTCCTCCTCCTCCTCCTCCTCCTCCTCCTCCTCCACCTGCTCCTCCTTCTGCGTCTCCTCCTCGTCCTCGTCCTCGTCCTCCTCCTCCCCCTCCTCCTCCGCATTTTCCTCCTCATCCTCCTCGTCCTCCTCCTCCTCCTCCTTCTCCTCCTCCTCCTCCTCTTCCTCCTCCTCCTCTTCACCATCATCCTCCTGCTGCTCTTCCTCCTCCACTCCTTTCCCTTTAACTCTTCCCCGTCGCGCCCCGAAGCTGGTCGAAAGGGCGGGCTGTGCGTTTCGCCTGAAACTTCCTCACCATCTATGATCCTGAAATTGAAAACTCGACAACAGCTTCACAGATGGGTGGTTGTCAAAGTTTGGCTCTCTTCTTAGCGCCGCGTGCATTAGTTGATTAAAATGCTAGAGCTTCACCGATGGAGGGGGGGGTCACAATGTGGTTGTCGCCTGAGCCCCGCGCATATTCATCTGAAAATGTTGCAAGAGCTTCACGGATGGAAAGCGGGTCGTTTTCAAAATGTAGCTCTCGCCCTAGCGCCACGCACATTCGTCTTCACAAATTCCAAGAATGTCACAGATGGAGGGCGGGTGGTTTTCAAAAGGTGGATGGCCTTTCAGCGCCGCGCACATTCGTTTTAAAGAATTGCATGAACTTCACGGATGGTGGGCGGATGGTTTTCAAAATGTGTTTGTTGCCTTAACGCCGCGCACACTCGTTTTTTTTAACTACGGGAAACGAGCTTATAACGGCAACGAAAAACACGGTTCAGGTCGACTCTTGTTTCCGATTGACACTTCAACAGAAGGGGGGCTCAAAGTGCACATCCCAGGACGTCAGCACAAGCATATTGAGGTATCCAACGACGGAGGGGCACCTGCCAGAGGCACGGGAGCAGGGGGCCCAGGCACTCCCACGCTCCGCCGCGGCCGCTGTCCCTCCCGCCTGTGGACTGTGGAGGAGGGGATCTGGCTGTAGTCACCCGGACGTGTTCGCGGTGTGAACAAAAACACGACGAAAGGTGCTTGGCCGTTTTTGGTCTCGCCGGGCCCCGGGACCGTCCAACAGCGGTTCGGGACGATAGAGCGGCCCTGGTGAAAGGGTCACGCCTTCTGAGGGCCACACATTGAAAAATTAAGAAGTCAAGACTTCTCATGTCCGGGTATGGGTGCCCCCATTGATATCCCATGCCTCCGCGTGGCCGAGCTGGGCCGACTGCGCACCCAGGGGCCACCCGTCGGGCAGGGCCTCGGCGACGCTAATGGCAGGCTCCAGGCCGATGGAAGACGCTGGAAGATACATTGCACTTGCGACCAAAGGACTAGACCTCCGCGGCGCCTGGGCGACATTCTCACCAGTCGGCACCATCAGGGCCATCGAGATGTCCAACGGTCGTCCGTGGTGTCACACGAGACCGCCGAGTCAGCTAAGAAAACTATGGGCTGGGTCCCCGCAACCGAGCTCGAGGTGAAGAACCTCATCCCGGGCACACGGCTGAGGCCCGCGGACGTGCCCACAGGAGCGCTGGGGCACGGGCGCACTGAGATCGACATCGGGATTGCCTTTTCCCGACGCGCGCAATGCTGGCCAGGACTGCGTGTCCAGCATGTACGAGCGCAAGGTGGCCTACTACGCCCACACAGCCAAGTTCTGGACCGTCTGAACATCCTGTACCAGCCGCCTACGGGCGGCCCCACCCCTGGACGACGACACCCATCCTCCACGCACTTGCGACCCGCCTTGCCCGGCGGAGGGGATGCTCGGACGAAGCGTGGCGGCACCGCCGCCTGGCCAGCGCGGCGGGGGTGAAGAGCAAGGGCGCTGGCCAGCCCACCACCGCAGGCGCGGGCTCCCCTCCACTTCCCGCCCCCGTCCGCCCCACCCCAGCACGCGCGCCTAACCAGCGGGGTCAGGTGGCTCACACCCCGCGGCCGTGCTCCCCTTATTGCTCGTTGCTTGCCTGCCTGCTTGCGGCCCCTCCTCCCTCCTCCTCCCCCTCCTCCTCATCCTCCTCCTCCTCCTCTTCCTCCTTCTCCTCTTCCTCCTCCTCCTCCTTCTCCTCCTCCTCCTCCTCCTCCGCCTCCTCCTCCTCCTCATCTTCCTCCTCCTCCTCTTCGCTTCCTCCCCGTCGCCCTCCACCTCTCTCGTGCCCGGAAACCGCGTGCCATCTAGTTGCGTCTTGCCGCGAGCCCACGCAGGCGCGGCCGTTAAACTCTCTTGTTTTCTTCCACCTCCTCTCCAGCTTTATATTGTTGTCAGATTTTCTGAGTGGCCGGCGAGGCCCCAGAGAGCGACCACCACGTGCGTCCCAGCGTTCTGTCTGGGGCACAGGGGCGCAAACGTCGCCGCCGCCGCTTGCCATTTCCTCCTCTTCCTCCTCCTCCTCCGCCTCCGCCTCCTCCTCCTCCTCCTCCTCCGCCTCCTCCTCCTCCTCCTCTTCCTCTCCTCCCTCCTCCTCCTCCTCTCCTCCTCCTACTCCTCCTCCTCCCCTCCTCCTCCTCCTCCTCTCCTCCTCCTCCTCCGCCTCCTCCTCCTCCTCCCCTCCTCCTCCTCCTCCTCCTCCCCCTCCTCCTCTCCTCCTCCTCCTCCTCCTCCCTCCTCCTCCTCCTCCTCCTCCTCCTCCTCCTCCTCCTCCTCCTCCTGCATATTTCTACGTTTCCTTTAGTTTACGGCCAGCGCAGGGGGAGGAGGGGGGTAATTCAGTGCCTTTCACACACTCGCTCTCTCCCAGGCCACGGCTCACCTCATGAATTTTCCTATTGCAGGTCGGCCTGTGGGTTGCATCCGGTTTGCCTGGCGCTTCGTTGAAGGTTCCACGCGTCCAGGCTACATCAGCACAGCCAGGAGCTCGGATTGTGGGTCCAGTGTGAGTTTTGATGTGGCTGCCGAGTGGACACGAGTTGGTGGTAGCCGGCGTTGCTCTGCCCACGTTCGCGAAGCGGCCTGCTCTGGGCCACCGCATATCCGCATGGTCGCGCGCCGAAATTCAGACCGCAGGGGCGTGGACGTGGACATGTTCACCGCTCGTGAGACTGGAGTCGATTGTTTTTAAAAGAACAAATGGGCACATGGACGGCGAAGATATTCGGAAGCGGCAGCACAGTGCCAACGTCGTCCACGACACACACACACACACACACACACACGCACGCGCAGATAATGTTGCGGAGGCTCCTAACACGGCGCCCTATGCCAGGCTGCCCAGAGACTTAGACGCGTGCAATGCCGAGGACGCCGCTGGCGCAACTGAACGCCCGCCAGTCGCCGCCAACGACCGGGCAGCCACAGCGACCTTGGCAAAAGAGGGGACGACCGCAGCATACTTTGAGAGGCTTGTCCTGAGCAGAACTAGCTCCTCGTTAAACACCCTCCAAGCAGCCGCCCACGAGGCTGAGGCCGAGAACTGAGACCACTGGGGCCAGAACCGACCAAGCGGGCACCCTCGGTACCAGGCAACGGCTAGGTTCGGAGGCACGTACGACCTCTGCATGGGCAGCGCAAGCTATGTGGTGCAAAATCTGTCGTACATCTGTCGTGCAAGCTGTGCGGTGTGAACTAGAGGTGAAAGCCATGTGGCGCAGGCTATATGATGTGAGCTATGCGGGTAAACTACGTGGTGTAAGCTTTCAGCTGAGTGGTATCCCCGGCAAACCACCCAGCGCACGGAGCGCGCGCCCAAGAGGCGGCAACGAGGCGGCACCGGCGGCAACGTGGCGAACCCTTGGCACACCCATCCAACGCAAGGGGCGGCAACGTGGCGGCATGGGCGGCAACGCGGCGAATCTTCGGCACACCCACCCAGCGCACGTGGCGGCGACGGGGCTGCAACGGTACGGCATGGGCGGGATCGTGGCGCGGAACGACGGCTCATCCTTCCATCCTTGTCGGCGACGGGTCGGGTTCGATGCAGCACCTCGGGTGTCCATCCCCTAACGTCGTCCAACATTGTGAGGCGGGGTTCAAAAGATGCTCTTCCTGCGGACGGCGTTCCTGGTAGGTCGACCACGACGCTCATCAGCATCATGCTGTTATAGTATTCACCGCTGCGATATCGCGGGAGGGCACATCGCCAAGCAGAGAGAGCAGAGAGGAGGTGTAGGGAGGGAATAGCGCGTCGAGGAGACGAGAGACAGAAAGAGGGAAAAGCATAGGGAAGGGGGAAAGATGATAGGGAAGCGAGGCGACCGACAGAGGAAGAGGCACGAGTAGAGTAGCTGGCATGGCTTCCAAAGCGGGCATGTGTCTTTGGGGGTTCGCCCTCTGTGTTTACAATATTCCCTTTTACCTTCGTCTTCCTCCTGAGGCCTTCACGCAGTCATTCAACCTCGTCACCACGAACATTGTCGGAAGTCTGCTTTTAGTCGCTTGCTTATGCTACTTCCTGTCGTCACTCAGCACGCTGTTCGGCGACGCAGTGGAGGATGTCTTGGCTGGCAACGCGCCACCCCCAGCTCGCGATCCCAGGCAGACCAAGATCAACAAGTTGGGAGCAGGGACTGTGGGATCTCGGAGGATTCCCGGGAGACGGCATTGTCAGTCAGAGAAAGCACTTTCGATGTGGAACAGAAGCAATGTCTTCTTGAGGAGGAGGTTCCAGACTGTACTGCGACACATCAGCCAGCAGAACTCGGGGTAAAATGACGGGTTTCTCATGGATGCTGTTTAGAAATTCTCCAGCGGGGGCTTGATGTTTTACACCATGTGTATTGCCATTGGCGTGGAGTACGGTCAGGAACTGTTGCACACTATGCAATGACTTCTGTCCTGGATTCAACGCGTGCACAGTGCAGAATGCGTGCTGCTAGCACGGCCCTCTGTGGAGCCTCTGAGGCACATGGCTTAGCCAAATGGCCTACCATGCTTCGGCGCGACACGAAAGGCACGTCCCCATGTCCAAGCACCAAGGTCCCGAGCTCTTCCTAGCCTCTAGCCTTGCGAAGCAGAGCGACACGCTATCAGTTCTCTGGACATCGCATGTCGCCGGGGCCGCCGCCGCGACACGCTAAGCAAAAGTTCTTGGACGTATTGCCATTGACTTGGATTACACAAATTGTCACTGGCAGACCCCTACGGGCGCGATGAATCAAGAAGTGATCTCTCAGGGGCGCATGCTTTTCAGGGTTTGCCTGTAGTGCGGGTGATCGCCGCCTGGGCCACGTGGCCAGTCTAAATGGCATCAGTGCCGACCGTTGCCTCGGGCACCAGTGGGGTCTTGGAGTGCCCAGAGGACCGCACATCTGGCATGGGCAGTGCACAGCCCCAAGGCTCACACTTGGAAGGGCGCAGGGTGGACCAGAAAAACCATCGACCGCCCCCCCACCCCTCCACATGTTCCACCCACTTCGCAGCCTCCGCGCGCGGAGCCCACCCGAGATCAGCCTCTCCCAAAACACTGTTTGCACTCGGGGTCTCTTCCTCTGGTCTTTACGGCAGCGCCCCTGCGTGCTGGGCTCCAGCCGTTGCCACCGTGGGGGTCCAGAGCCGTTGCCCGTGGGTGGTTTCCCAGCTTGCGGCGGTTGCCCAGTTCCACACATAGGGCTCCCCACACTTAGTGTTCCATATACATATATGTGTATACATATATATGTTATACATACATATACATGTATGTGTATATACATATGTATGTATAAACATATACACACACGCACTTACACTCGTGGCGGTCGCGGCCTCGCGCGCAGCGTCGAGGCAGAGTAAGGTCGGAGCTGGTGCGCGCGCGGCCAGGCCCTCAGGCGAGATCGTTCTGAATCCCATTGGCCCATGCATGCTCGCATCAGCAAACCATCCGAGGCCTTCTGGAAGCCTCCTGGGTTCCTCGTGGGGACCTCTGGGGGGTTCCCCAGGCCACCTTGCTTCCAACCGCGGTCTCCCTGAACGACCGGGTCATGATTTGGAATGGTTAGGAAGGCGTCTTGGGGCCATCTTGGGGATCTCCTGTCGGCCATCTCCGGGCCTTGTTTGTCCGTCTTGGGGCTCCTCTTGGACTGCCTGGATGCCCTCTTCGTTTTTTTGGGGGCGATTATCTGCCCTCCTGGGCGGTATCGGACGCCCAGAAGACCGAAAAACTGAGCATTCGCAAAAATCATGCAAAAAGCCATAGGAATCAATGTTTTTTAGTTTCGAATGCCTCTCAGGTGGTCTTCTTTGGGTCGTCTTCGGGCGTCCTGGTGGGTGTCTGGGGCCTCTGTGGGCTCTCGTGGGGCCGTCCGGCCGCCCTCCTGACCGATTTGGGTCCGTTGCCTAGGCCCTACAGGGGCTTCAAGAGCCCCAGAAAGCACAGGGGATCGTCTGCAAGGGCCTCCAGGGTGCCCTTGGGGCCAAGGATTCGGAGGGGTCCCTTTTAGGGGGGGAAATTCGAAGGGTCCCAGATTTCAAAAATATCTAAATCTAAAAGGGTGTGTACATTTGTACATATATATATATACAGATATAGATGTGTGTAGAATCGGTCGCAGTGGCGCGGCGACTCGCCAGCGCGTCGGGCGCCCCTCGCAGGACGCGCAGTGTCAGGGAGAAGAAGAGACAGGGGAGACGGCCGGCCCCTCACGGGGCAGTGGCCCAGGCGCGCACACACACGCGCGCACACACGCTTTCTCGGGTGTCGCGGCCACGCGCGCAGCAGCGCAGCCGAGTCTGCCAGCGGAAGTAACCGGAGGGAGCGCGGCGGGCGGGCCAGCTCAAGGCGGCAGCGGGGCGCACAAGGTTCACCCACAGGGGACCGCGCTGCAAGAGCTCACGGGGGGGCAGCCGCGAGAGGGGGACGGCCACGGGGACGACGGGGGCAGCGGGGGGGAATGGAAAGTAGCACAGACACTGGAATTCGATGAAAAAACCGAGACGGGGGACGAGAGAGGGCTCGAACAGGGACGGAGCGGACAGTCGGTGCTCGAGCGCACCTGATGGACAGTGGCAGACTTGCGGGGGTTGGCAAGTGAGGCGCAGTGCGAAGCGAGAGACACACACGCACACTTTTAAGTCAGCGGCCTAGAGGAACCTCAGGCGCGAGCAGTAGATGGAAGTGCGAATTGCGACCGAGCATTGTCGATAGCGCAGCGTACAAGTGTCGCACACTGCAACATGCAAGAGATGGTTGGATTAGAGGAAGTGTAAGTCCAATAGCACATGCAGCGGCCAGAAACCGAGGAGACGACTCAACTCAAAGGGAACTGAAGCGCGACGGTCCGAGGCTGATTGTGGCCACTGAATCACCAGAGCGGTGTCAAACAATGAAGCGCAAAGAATAAAAGTTGCCAAGCATATTGGTGCTGTGGTCAAAGCAGTGGTCCAGCGAAGCAGATTGGTAGGGTGTTGACCAAGGGGCCCGCAAAGTAATCTGACCGCGACAATAGGTGGGGTACTCAACGACGCGTGACAACGCCGGCCGCAGCGAAGCAACGAGGTTGTCATCAGCTGCGCCCAATATGTCAACAACCGCAACAGGTGCGTGAATAAAAGAATCGCACAACCTGCCAGCAAACAAACAACTGTCGCATCCCAACGCCTGTAATACGGACAGAGGTGAACAACATCAATCCACCGTGCCCGTGTAATGGCAAACGAGCGCGGCGAGTTGGACACCCAGACAGGCGACCGCCGCCACGATCAAAGAGAGAGAGAGAGAGACACACACACACACATACACACACACACACACACACACACACACACACGCGCGCCCACACACACGCATAGGTAGGCTTAGCAACCCGTAGGGCTCCATACACACAGGGTTCAACACATGGTGTTCAGCGATGGTGGACCTCGAGATGCAGGTGAGCAGTGCTATGGCGAAATCCGACCCCTTGCAGACTGCTGTTGGCCAGTGGGCCGAACGGCTGGGGCTGGTGGGTCAAGGGGGCCTGGCGCCCTGGCAGTTGATTTCACCCAGCATTGTCGATGAAAGGCAAGCGGTGAGCTCAGCCTGCCATGCGCAGGGAACTGCTATGAGCCCCAGTTGAAGAGACGCACCCGCATTGCGGAGCGCGCGTGCAGGCGGCAAAAGCGTGGAATGAGTGGGCGGCGTCTAGGGGACCAGGCAGGTGCGACCGGTTCCGCAAGCGAGGGCTGGAGAACAGAGATTTGCGTGCGCAATCGGGGAGCACCTTGGGAACGCGGCGCGGGACCAAAAGACGCGCCTAGTGCGTCACCCAGGCCGTGTGAGAAGAAAGGGCGGAGGATGCACACACAGTGGGTTTCACACATTTGGTTCGACCCGCACACAGGCTGTTACACACACACACACACACACACACACACACACACACACACACACACACACGCAGGCGTCCACACATCGCATTCCACGCATATAGGGTTCGACACACCTCGGGTTCCACACAATGTGCAACTCGCTCTCTCATGCAACGGCTTTGTTGTGACGTAGGCGTGTCTCTTGCCGGACCTCGCAGGCCTCGCGCTCATTACATCTAAGCGTACCCATACGCAGACCCATTCCCGAGCCAAATCATACTCAGTCACTCATTGTCAGACTCGTGCACAGTCGACCCCGATTATATCCAGATTTACTCATACGCAGGCACGGTTGCAGTCAACATGGGAGGACAAAGTCAATGTATAGGAATCCACACGTTTAGTGATTCTTTGGCTTACGCCGCACCGCCGACCCCTTGGGACTCCTGGTAGGTCTCTCGGGGGCCTCCTGGCAGCACTTTGAGGCCTTTTGGGGGCCGTTTTGGGGCCGCTTTTGGGCCTCAGGTGGGCCTCTTGGAGCCTCTTGGGTGCTTCTTGGGGGCTTCTTGGGGCCTCCTGCTTCTTGGGGCCGACGGCTTGCAATTTCCGTCTTGGGGGCCGAGGTGGAGGAGGAGGGGGAGGAGGAGGGGGACACAGAGAGGAGGCTCTGGGTCATGGTTCTGGGTTAGAGGCTTCTTGCATGTGTATCGGGATCTCGCGCCACGCCTCTCGGGGGCCTCTGGAAGGCAGTTTTGAAGCCACTTGGGAGCCGTTTCGGAGCTTCTGGGGGTCTTTTGGGGGCCTCCTGGGGGCCTCTTGGGGGCTCCTTGGGGCGTCTTGGGGGCCTCATGGGAGCCTCTGGCGGCCTCTTGGGCCACTCTTGGAGCCCCCTGGGGCTCCTGGGGGCAGAAAGCTAGATGTTTTGAATTTTTGGTCGCCCTCTGGGGCCCCTCTTGGTGCCGTCTTGGAGCCCTCTTGGGCCGTCTTGGGGACCTCTTGGGCCGTCTTGGGGCTATCTTGGGCCGTCTTGGGGCCGTTTCGGGGGCCTCTTGGGCCGTCTTGGGGCTGTCTTCGGGGCCTCTTGGGCCGTCTTGGAACGTCGGGAAGCCGAAAAGGCGAAAAGGCAAAAAACACCGAAAACACACAATGGAAGATCAACAATTTTAGCCTCTCGGGGCCCTCTTGGGAGGCTTGTTTGGGACCTCTGGGGCCGTTTTGGAGGCCTCTTGGCCCGTCTTGGGGCCATCTTGGGCGTCTTGGAGCGCTCGTTTAGCGTCCCGGGGCCTTCGCGGGCCGTCTTGGAACCCTCTTGGGGCCTTCTTGGCCCATCTTTAAGCCCTCTTGGGCCCAGAAGAGCCCGTGACGCGCTCGTCGCCCCCCCCCCCCCCCCCTCCAAATCGACCGGACCGGGCTCCAGGGGGAGGGGTTTGGGGAGGGGGGAGCATCTCACACGCCGATGATCCCCAAGGGGTCGGCGGATTGCTTGCCAACACGGCTTGACTTGCGATTGTTAGTCTGTTGCTGGTTGCTCCAGGCCCTGCTCGGAGTCGATGATCGTACATGTCACGAGCTCCACTTCGCATTGAGTCTTCGAATCCGCTTCCTTCGATCGGCCCAAACGGCTTTGCGGCCGCAACGGCGTGGCGGCGGGCCCCCTTGCCCGCGGCGACTTCTTCACCGAAGGGCGCTTCTTCACCGGCTGCAGGCCTGGCCACGATGCGGATTCGGTGGTTGCCGCTGGCCTTGTGGTGCGGCCCCACCCTCGGCGCTGGCGGAAGCTTGGACGTACGCGGGTTGTGGTCTGAATTCGAGCTGCCGGAGTCCCAGGAGAATGTGATGTTTGCGGCCCTCCCTGAGGAGGAGGGATCAGTGTCTTCGGCACCAGCACTTCGAGAATTCGACGACGACGACGAGGACGACGTGCCCCACTCGGACCAACCTGAGGATGATGGCAGCCCGAGATTCGCGCTGTATTTGCGGGTGACAGTGTTTGGGGAACTCGGGAGCGAGAGAGGGTCGGAGGAGGCTTGGCAGGCCGCCACCCACCGGGCCGAGAAGTTGGTGTTCACCACGCTCGTGCGAAGCTTATTCGTCGGGGCCACGGGGCATAAGACCAATTTCAAGATTCAGGAGAAGCCAATCATCCAGAGCTACGTGACCCCGCCCTATCAGCTAGACGACAGAAGGCCAGGGGGCAAAAATAATGACCAGCGCAGCCCGTTTCTCCGCAGCCACTTCGAATTCATTTTCAACGGCTTGCATTCGACCATGGCGGACGCCGTGTCGAGGAGCATCTGCCGAGACTACGAGAGGGAAGAGCAGGAGATGGTGAATAGCGTTCTCCGGGCCCTTGACGCTTCCAACGCGTACCCGTCCGACATGATCAGCACAGCGGCGAGGCTTCTCACTGGCATGTCCAGCGTCATACATTTCATGGCTGGCACGATCGACACTGGCCTGGACGGCGATTGTCCCAGGGGCGGACACCTGTTCAAAAACGATTACGCGCAAGGCTGCTTCATTGAAGGCGGGTGCTACTGGGAAGAACAGCCCATGGCCCCTAAACCAGACGAAGAACGCCAGATGTTCGCCTTCCACTTGCCGCCGTGCCCCGAGAACTCCGAGCTGGATGAGACGGGGAAGACCTGCAAGTGCGACGAGGGCGGATGGGAGGGAGTGTTCCAGCTCGTCACCCACGACGGCGACCAGTCAACCCGGCCGACGTTCCAGTCTGTAGACTCCAAGACTAAATGCGAGAGGGTATACGGGTGGTGCGAGGTCTCGCTAGCGGGGACGCCTCGCAGCGGACGAGGCCGCCCACAGATGATGGTCCTTAACGACGGCTCGCCAGCCCAAGGGTACGTCGACGAGAGGGCCAACGTCGAATGCGCTATTGGCTACACCCCGTCCGGGCAGGCCACGTGCGGCCGGGACAGGCAGTGGTCTCCCGAGCCGACGTGCACTTTCTTGCCCGCGGTGGCGCCCCCGGAGCCCGTCTGCTCCATAGAGCCCCTCCAGGGCCCAAACTTTGGGTACAACACGGACGGCTGCGAGGACTGCCAGGGAACGAGCGGAGAGCCGTGGGAGGAGAAGTGCTCGTGCAATGTCAGGTGCAAGGAGGGCTTCAAGAGCACCGGCGAAGTGGAGGAGGGCAACAAGATGTGTAAAGCCAAGAAGTTTGACTGCCCAGGGAACGTGGTATGGAATTCGGAGAAGAAGTGCGTCGATTCGACGGGCGACCAGATCAACAGTTGGTGCTGCGAGGAGGCGTGGGGGAGCACATTGCCACCAGAAAAGCTAACCAGTGAGAACTCCTGTGTGAGTTTGAAGGACCACCGGAGCTGTTTGCTAGCCCAGGACATGAGTGACGGCGCCCCCTGCTGCTGGCGCCACGAGGGTTTCGGGGGCGAGAACGGTACAAAGTGCGTGCCAATGTCATCCGACAAACTGCTCAGCAAGCATGCGGCGTTCAACCCCACCGGCGGCTGCGCGGTCGACAGGTCCGTGCTCACAGCAAGTTGGGAGCCTTTGCCCACCTGCACGCCGAAATGTGACCCCATCTTGCCCGCCGACGGCCTGCTGCCGACGGACTGCGACGACTGCGTCCCAGGGGACTGCAACTGCAGGGTGCGGTGCGCAGACGGCTTCGTGCGCTTCGGCGGTGGCCCAGAGCATGAGGTGCGGGGCTGCCAGGGGGCCCCGTCGATGCAGCACCCTGGGCCGCACGATTACAGCATGACCCCCGCCGTCCCAGCCTGCTTCCAGCCCATCGGCACGCGAGATGGCGGCGGCACGAGCGGCGGTGGCACTGGTGGCAGCGACGCGGGTGGCGGCGGCCACGGCGGCCTCTTCACGGACCCCCGCCGGGGCATGTGCAAGAGGCTCGGCGGCAAGCGAGGGGGAGAAGTGAGAAGGAGAAGGCCTTTTCAGAACGCGCAGAGACTTCTCAGAAGCACTCGCGCCTTCTGAGAAGTTTTCTGTGTCTTCGGGGAAGGCTCAGAAAATTGTTCAAAACGCAGGGGGGCATCCGAGCCTTCTGAGAAGGCCTTCTTCTTCTCACTTCCCCCTGGGTTCGCCACCGACAGGCAGAGGGATTCCGATCGTTTCCGCGTTGTCTGGGGCTGCAAGAGCTGCAAGGCCGAGGACGAGGACTGCTACTGCAAGGCCGAGTGCCCGGAGCGCACGAAGTGGGTCGGCGGCGGCGAGCAGAACACGAGGCTTCGGTGCATCACCAAGAGAGGACCTGAGGTTAAGGTCACCATCGTGGCTGCTTGCGAGGAGATCTATCCAGCTGGCTGCGGCAAGTCCCGCACCCTGCTAGCCCAGCTGTCTGGCTGACGGCTGTTCGAGGTGGCACGGGAGGACGTCACGTGCGACACCTCGTGCCCCCAAACGTGGGAGAGCCGTGATGAGGATCACATGTGACACCTTTCCGTCTTCACTTCTTGAGAAGCCCACACGGAGCCGATTTGGGCCGTCTTGGGGCTGTCTTGGGCTCCTGTGGGGCAGTCTTGGGGTTCCCTCGGGGCCGTCGTGGGGCCATCGTGGCGCCGTCTCGGGCCGTCGATGGGCCTGCTAAGGCCGTCTTGGGTCGAGTGTGGATGTGCTGGTGGTTTCGGAGGTCTTCTTCGGCAGGGGGAAGGGGAAGGAAACCAGAGCCAGACCCAGAACCAGAACCAAAACCTCAACCAAAACCGGAACTAAAGAACGCCTGGCGACGACAGACCGAAACCGAAATTGAAATTCGAACCGGAACCAGAATCGCGAGGATTCATGGAACCGCAGAAAAAGAAGGAAACCAGAGCCAGAACTGGAACTGGAACCAGAACCAGAACCTCGGAGGTTTTTCTTCGAGCATGGAGGAAGAAGGGAGCCAGAACTGGGACCAAAACCGTGACCTGAGGCTCTTCCGGGGCGGAGAAGGAAAAGGAGACCAGAACAGGCACCAGAACCGAAATTTGGGCCTGGCCGCCGACTGTGACCGATTGGAAAATATGGGAACCAGAACCGTTCCTTGTGGGGCCTCCCTCCACACCCCGGAGACGAAGGAAACCAGGACCAGAACCCGAACCGTGACCCGGGGGCTCCTCTTCTGGGCTGGGAGAAGGAAGAAGCCAGAACCAGAATTGGAACAAGAACCATGACATGGGGGTTCTTCTTCCAGACCAGACCAGAAGAAGAAGAAGAAAATTTGAACCAGGTCTGAAACCAGAACCAGAACCATGGCAGGGAGGGTCATCGTCGAGGCTGTAAGAAAAAAAAGGAAGAACCTAAACCGGAACCAAAACCGTGGTTGAGGAGGTCTTCTTCGGGTCCAGAAGAAGAAGGGAACCAGAAACGAAAACGGAAGTGGAACCGTGATTTTGGGGGGTCTTCGTCGGGGCTGGAAAGAGGAAACCAGAACCAGAACCAGAACCATGACCGAAGGAGTTTTTTCGAGCCCCATAAAATGGAACTGGAACCAAAACCGTGAACGGAGGGTCTCTATGGGCAGAGACAGGGAAAGAAGCCTGAACCAGAACCAGAACAGAAACCAGAACATGGCCGATGATCGGCCCAAAAAATTATGGAAACTGGAACCAGAACCATGCAGAACCAGAGCCAAAACCAAAACCAGAATTGTGATTTGGGGAGTCGTTTCTGCGTCTCGCAGAAGAAGGACGCCGGAACTGGAACCGGAATTGGAACCAGAATCGTGACCTGCGGGTACGTACGCTTGCAAGAAAAGGAAATAAACCGATAACGGAACTGGAAACCGAACCATAACCAGAACCGTGACATGAGGGGTCTCCTTCAAAGCTGTAAGACGGAGGAAACCGGAACCTGAACCGAAACCAGGCCCAAAACCGTGACTCGGGGGGCCTGCGCCGGTCCTGGGAGAAAGGGGAAGCTGGAACCGGATTCCTCAACCGGAACCAGAACCATGATTTGGGGGTTCTTCTTCGAGGCCAGAGAAATATAGGGGAACCGGATCGGGGACCAGAGTTGTGACCGATGGTAGTATCTTCGAGCCCCGAAGAAGGAAGGGAAGTGGAGCAGGAACTACAACCGGAATTGTGATTTGGGTATTGCATTCGATACGGATGAGCTGAGTACAAGGATTTTGGCCGAATTCGGGGGGATCCTGTTGAATATCGGGGGGGGGTGTTGTACACGAAGGCTGTGGAGTGTTTGGATGTTGTGTTGTACACGGAGGGAGGTCTGGGGAGGGAGCCTGTTGGGAATCGTTGCGGTGTTGGATACGTGGGCTGTGGAATACTTGCGCGTTGCACTGGGCACGAAGGGAGTTGATCAGAAGGCCTGTTTCAAGTCAGAACTGAGGAGGGAGTTTGTTGAGTATTGGGTGGTGCGTCGTACGCGAAAGTTGTGGAGTACCTGGGCGTTGTGTTGGCCATTTTGGGAGTTGAGTAGAAGGGTTTTTTCATATTCGGTTTGCGGATGGGGCCTGTTGAATATCCGGTGATGCGTTGTACGCGAAGGCTGTGGAGTTCTTGGGTGTTGTAGTGGACACGGAGAAAGTCGAGTTGGAAGGATTTGTTTAAATTCGGGTTGGGGAGGGGGCTTGTTGAATATTGGGTGGCGCGTTGTACACGAAAGCTGTGGAGTACCTGGGTGCTGCGCTGGGCACGGAGGGAGTTGAATACGAGGACTTTATACAGCTGGTTTGGGGAGGGGGCCTGTTAAGTATCGGGCGGTGTGTGTTGAACACGAAGGTTGTCGAGTTCTTGGGTGTTGTGTTGGACACAACTGGGGACAAAACAATGTTTGAAAGGTCAGCTCGGGGAAGGAGCCTGTTGAGTACCGGGTACCTTTTTTCTTACAGGAAGGCTATGTAGTTGTTTGATGCTTTGTCTGACACGGGAAAGTGGAGCAGAAGGGTTTCTTCAAGCCAGGCTTGGGGAAGGATTTTGTTGAGTATTGGGTGTTGTACACAAAGGTTGTCTAGTATCTGGGTGTTGTGTTGGACGCGGAGGGAGTTGAGTAGAAAGAGTCTTCCAAGTTAGGTTTAGGGAGGGAGTTTGTTGAGCATTGGGTGGTGTGTTGTACAGCAATGTTGTGGCATATGTGCGTGTTGTGTTTCACACGGAGGGAGCTGGATAGAACGAGTTGTTCAAGTTAAGCTTGGGCGGGAGCCTGTTGACAATCGAGTGGTTTGTACACGAGTTCGGTGGAGTAACTGTGTGCTGCGTTGTGAACGGAGGAAATTGAAAAGAAGGATTTTTCAACGTAGCCTTGGGGGGGGATACTATTGAGTAGCGGCTCCGGTGTTGGACACGAAAGTTGTGAAGCATTTGGTTGTTTTATTGGACACGGAGGAATTGGGTAGGACTATGTCATGTTAAGCGGAGGGAAGAAGCATGATGATAATCGGGCAGTGCGTTGTACACGAAATCTCTGGTGTACTTTGTGTGTTGTGTTGTACGCGGGGGGGGGGGGTAGAACACGATTTCAAGTTAGGCCCGGGGAAGGGGTTTGTTGAATACCAGGTGGTGCGTTGCACACGAAGGCCGTGGAGTATTTGGGTGTGTTGTTGGACACGGAGGGAGTTGACTACAATGACATTGCAAGTTAGACTACGGGGGGGCAGTTGTTGACTAATTGGGTGCGGTCTTGCACACGAAGGTTGTGGAGTACCTTGGTGTTGTGTCGGACAGAGAGAGTTGAGAACGAGGACTTCTCCAAGCTACGTGTGAGGAGGGAGCATGTTGAGTATCAAGTGAGGTGCTCGACACCAAGGCTGTGGAATACTTTGGTGTGTGTGTGTGTTGGACACGGGGGGGGATAGGAAGACTGCTCCAAGCTAGGCTTGGGGTGGGAGTTTGTTGAGTACCGGGTGGTGTGTTGCACACGAGATTTGTCGAGCTCGTGGGTGCTGTGATGGACACTGAAGAAGTTGAACCAGATTTTTGTTGTTTGAATTGGTTTCGGGAGGGGCCCTGTTGAGAATCGGGTGGTGCATTGTACCAGAACGTTGCGGAATACTAGTACTTGTATGTCGTGTTGAACACGGAGGGCGTTATGTAGAAGGACTTTCAAAATTAGGCTAAGGGAGGGAAGTTGCTGAGTATCAGGCGCGGTGTTGTACAGGAAGGTAGTGAAGTATATTGGTGTCGTGTTGGACACGAAGGGAGTTGGGTATAATGATTGTTCAAACTAGGTTTGGGGAGGGAGTCTGTTGAGTATCGGGTCGTGCGTTGTACACGAAGGTTGTCGATTAACCGCGAGCCCCGGATAATGAATCACACGCCCCTTTTTTTCACGATTGGGAGTTTATGATCCCCGGCCAATATGGTCGGGGGGAGGAGCGGCAAGGCTGAACTTGATTATCGCGGTGGAAGGTTGCGAGTCGATGTTGTTATCTCCTTATGTTGCATCATCATTAAGGACGCGCGGCATGGCAGTGGGGATCTCACCAGTTTACCTTTCGCAAGTCACGAAGATGTGGCAGGGCGATGGGATTCTCACCATTTCACCTTTCGCAACTCACGAACGTGTGGCAAGGCTATGGGAGTCTCATTTTCGCGGCCCTTCCCGAGTCAGGAACGCGTGGCAGGGCCATAATATTCTCGCCAACTTAGCTTTCCCAAGTCACGAACTTGTGGCGGGGCCATAGGATTCTCACCATTTCAAGTCCGCGCAGCACGAACGTTCGCCCCCCCCCCCCCCGCTCCCCGCAGCCCCCCCCCGATGCCGTCTGGGGCCCGAGCTCCACCGACCCGAGCCCTTCTCTAACTAGGCCCCAAGTTGCTCCGCGCAGACCCGAGCCCCACGGAAACACTTGCAATAACCGCCTCCAAGTCCATCGAGGAGCACGCGCTGGAGGTTCTGCTGCAAATCGCCAAGCAGAACGAGAAGATCACCGCCCAGAACAAGCAGGTGATCGAGCATCGCCGACAAGGCGAGCATCGCCGATATGCGGCAGCGCCAGGCTAACGCACAAGGCAAAGACGCCGCAAAAATGGCAGCGAGTTTCTTCACGGCCGAGAACGCGCTCTGGCCCGCGATCGCGAGTCAGGCCGTCGTCGAGATGGTTTCCAAGGGCGGAGACCTTAAGGTGATCGAGTACGGGTGCATCTTCAGCGAGGAAGACCAGAGGCGCGCCGAGCTGGCAGTCGCTTTTTTTTTCACGGGACGCACGCCGAGGGCAGCGAGCATTCGCGCGACATTCTCGAAGACCACGGCGAGCCACCCGAAAACCTTTTCTGGCCCATGCCGGGCTTCCGCTCGAAGATGCTCGAACCTGCAAGACCGAGGACACGGGGCCCCGCGCCGAGAAGGCCGCCCGCCTC